AAGAGCGTCCACCACGTAACACCTTGAAATCCAGTTTCCCGCTGCCCAAAACACGCTGAAGAACGAGAAATGTGAAACGCGCGTCGCCGGCTTCGGCGGCTCGACAGCCTCGTGCGTGCTGTCTCTTGCGGATTTTTTTTCAGGGGTCCTATTGGCTATTTACACAGTCGCAGTGTGTCCCTTCGTGTCACAAAGACCTCCTTTATGTACCGGGGGCTCGATTCTTATTTTGCGAAAATTGCGAACCGAAAGAAGGAGAAAAAAAAAAAAAGAAGAACGAGAACCGCGCTTTAATTAAGAGATAGTGAGACTTTTGTTAACATACATTGTAAAGAAAAATGACTGAAATTTCAGATAAAGTGTCTGCTGCTTTTTTGCAGACACACTGTCCGAAATTTCAGACAGAATGTTATCTAAATTTTCAGACAGATTGTTTAAAACAGATTGTCTGAAATTTTTTCCAGATCTGAGAATTCAGACAAAAACGTGTCCGAATTTTTAGACAATTTTTTATAATGCATTCCTCTTTTTAGGCAATATAAATATTGTATTTTCAAAAGTTACAAGGGAATTATCAGTTTGTGTTTGAAGTAATTAAAGTTTATATAAGAAATTGTGTTTTACGTTTCGTGCAAGTATACGATATTTCACAGGCCACTTGACGGGCGGGAGTTAATTAAAGAGCGAACGCGTTGCGGTCAAAATTATAATATAAAGCCGCTATCGAGCAGGTACGCTTCATTAAAATCTCGACGGGGTTTCGCAATATCGGGATCGCCGATGTCGTAACCGTTTATAGAATGCGCAATGAAACGGAAAATACGGTGAGTTTAATAAAGTGTTCCCGTTACAAGAGAGAAAGGGTTGCTCTCTTACTATGGGGGAAGGAAGAAAAAAAACGAAGAGGGATTTGATATACAGTTCGATATACAATCGGCGCTGAAACCGCTGCAACACAAGTAGGTTTGCCCGCTTTCTTCGCTTTACTGTTTCTTGACCCGCCGTAAACGTAGGAATTTAGGTAGGTCTTACCTCTTTTTGCGTTAAGCAGAGATTAACGGGCCGTATGTGTAATTTCGCTCGGTCGGATAATCGTCGCAAATCACCATTATTTTGTTTATTTTTACGAAACACGTGGACGGAGCTACCCATCCGTTTATTTTAGACGGATCCGCGTGATTGGAGACGCGAGCTTATCGAAACCCATATGCCTGTACTCGGCAAACATTCGACTTTGGACGTCCAACAATGATCTATTTTTGCGCGGAACGTCATCGTCATTTTCGGCGCTGCGTCACTTTAATGCTCTTAAATACGCCGTCACCGTAAGAGCCTTACATAGTGCGAGATACGATCGGAATCATTTGACATTTAACACGTGACGCGACTAATCCCGATAATTACGTTTCAAGATCTGTCATTTTCGATTTTCCAAGATTTGACACGTGTATTTCACGGTATGTATATCTTATATATTTCTGTCCAGAAACACGTTTTCCGCGAGAGTCCATTTTCAGGTTCCCCGCGTACTGGATGGATGGCCACGTAAAAGTATCCCGTTAGCACGGTAGCCCAGATACCGGATTACGGAGCACGAATTGTCAATCGCGTGCGAACGAGACGGACTTTTAAAAGGCCTTTCAAAGCAATGAGAGGCCTTTACCGTTTGATATTTGCTAGAAATATTAGTAGCTTGTCGCGAATCGAGTTTTTCAAGGAGCGGAGTTTTCACGTACTTAATATCGTTCGCTCATGTTATTTTACGACTTGAACGGTGAGCGAGCGCGGAATCAAAGGCAATCTGAAAAATTATGAAAATTTTACATACCAAAATATAAAAGCTCTATAATTTTATGCAAATAAGCTATATAAAGCTCCGATTGAAGATATATTTAACGGAAAAGATATTTTTACGGATTTCTTCTCCATCAAGATGCTCACTTACTCGTATCAAATCAACACACGCTGTTATCGCAGCGCGTCGCCGTTCTATTAACATAATTGTTAACGGAGCCGTAAAAGGCGTCGGCTCGGCTGATCGGCATAATAGAGTAAACAGGCCGGCGGAGCCACTTAATATCTTCAATTGTCGCATTTGCGCGGGTTACATTCCATTTTAAGAGGATTTTCACTGACGCCGGTCCGGCGGCAACAATGGAGACTCGACAGGATATTCTTAGACGCTTTTCTCATCCGGTGAATCAATTTCGAGTCCCGATAAACCAATTAATCAATGAGAAGAGCGAGGGCGGTAAGATCGATTGTAGAGTTCGATTAGAGAGAACAAGAGCCCGGATTTCAGAGAACTGGGAGTTTTCGCTCGTAGACCTCGATAAGGCGGCTCGATGTGTTGTAACAACACACTCCAATGAATCATAATATCGATAATGTAGCGTAACGCCGGCGCGGAGACCCTACAGAGGTGAATGGCGGCGAGTTTACGTCTCTCTCGGTTTACAGGATGTAAGCCGCGAGCCTCTGTTACACAGTTGGAAAATTTGTGTTAAATTTAGCATATATCGCATGTCCCGAAATCGCACAAATTTTTATGTTAATTTGACATAATATGGATATATTAAATGGTGATTAATACTATTAAATAATATTAATTAATATTAATATTTTAACACAAAATGAATGCAAACTTTACAGTAATTTGAAAAAAATTATGTGTAAAATCAACATATTTTCAATGATAAAAATATAACTTGAAAAAATATTATTGATGGTCTGTAGTCACTCTTATTATAGAATAAAATCAATATTTTTTTCTATGAATTTTAACAGATAAATCCTGTCACTAATAATACGGAACATATCTACTATATCAAATTAAAAATATGTGCACATTGTATTAATTTTACTTTTTTTTCCAGTTGTTTTAATAATTTAACATTTGAATTTAACTTAATACAACAACAATATATTAAATAACAACATAAATGTGTCAAATATTTAACACAAAAATTTTAACCGGCATATTTTATAACAAGAAAACAAATTTTCTAAGTATTTACAATGAATATTATTTCTCTTTTCGCTTCAGCGTTCTCTCTCTCTCTCTCTCTCTTTCTCTCTCTCTGCTTATCTCGCGAGGGAACGCTTTGAAGGGATTCCAATCATTTGTTTACATTCTCGAAGGGAATAATAAAACTGTACGATCTGGTGAAGAAAGTTCATCGACGATGTCCTTTTGAACGATTTTGAAATTAATTATCATCAACTACTATCACGCATATACAAAGGAAATTAGTTGACCGAAGAAAATTTCACCGCGTTGACTGTAGTGAAAAGATATATTTTTGCAAAATGAACACACCTACGTGCCTATTTATTGTAATCATTAAACAAGATGTCCCAAATTAATGGGAAAATTTGTGATTACTGGGTGCCTATGTAGAGAGCTCAATTACTATAGTAATTAACCTATTTGATACGCTATCGGCGTCGTATAATGATTCGCTGCTGTTGCTGTGTGATGATAATTCTTTAATTTGACGCTCGTCACGTCTCTGAAGAGATTTTCGTGTTTATATATATATATAATTACATACGTTTCTTTAAACATTAATTCAAGATTATACGCGTGCTCATTAATCTAATACTTTTTTAATGATTGTTTTATTCCTGGTTTCGTATGTTTCTAGGCTCTTTAGTCCTCTGGTGTAAAAGTACGTACATAATACTTGGGAGTATAACAAAAAAAAAAAATTCGCATCCTTACCTTTGATTTTAGTCTCCTGTGGATCCAAGGGAGGTAATCGCGGATGCGTTTGCTGCCCCGGTTTCTTCAACAGGACACCCACGACCTGCGGCGGCGGCATCATCATCTTAGCTTCTTTTCCGAGCTGCTTCCTCTCACTATCAATTTGCGTCGTTCGTCATATCGCTCTCGCGCGCGCGTATCCCGTTGTCTTCTACAATTGCGTTTACAAATCGAGAAACTGGATTTTGTTGGAAGAGCTACGAGTTTCTCGGTTTCGGTTCCGATATCGGAAAACCGAAACTCGCACGTGGAATCTCGTTTAAATAACAGCTGCCGATGGTCGTCGTCGACTTATTGGCTCGTCGAGACGGAGAGAAAAGCGTCGGCCGGGATCTCCTTTCCACCGACGACGTTCTTTCAGCGTGTCGTATCGTTCGCTCCGTCACTCGTCCTTCTTGCTGATCGTCGCAATTTTTTTTTATTTTTTAATTCAATCGACGCGCGATCCCGCGCGTCAAGAATGACGAGCGAACTCCGATTCGCCAACGAATACCCGATGAAATGTTCCGTTTGAGGGTTCAATTTCATCGACGATCGACCACGATTCCTGGACATTCGACGGGATCGACGATTCGATCGCTGCTTCGATTTACCATCGTTTCGCGAGAGATCGTTCTCTTCGCTCCCGCGCGAAACGAGGTGGAGGAACGTGAGGAGAGAAACGCGCCCGATCGGGATTAATTGCGACGCCGATCGGACGCGGCGTCGTAATCCGCTGGCTTATCGCCACGCGTAGATAAGTCGTATCGGAGCAACGACACCTATACCCGACCTATACGCGACTCTCCAACGGAGACGGACGTCGCATTATTATTTTACGTACCATGTACTCTCGGCTCTCTTTCGATATCGCAAGCCTGGCAAGAATGCGATCGCGATGAACGTCATCAACTCCCCGGTATATCACTCCCCGAACTTCCGGCGCGTAGCAATCGGCCGCGACCGATTACTCCGGAAATCAACGACGTGTCACCATCCGACCAAATGTCACTGCCACTCAACGAAACGTCACTTCCACTCCGCGCCCCGACTGTAATTCCTTTCGTCAAACTTTGCCCGTCATTGTTCACGATAACAACAAACAAATCTTTACGAAATCCAGCACATCGCTGACAGCCATGTTTCTTCCCGATCGAAACGAGTTTGTTTCCCTCCCCCCTCCCCGTTACCGAAGCGTTATCACGAAGAGATACGACCGATCCCTCGTTATAATCCGATGGTAGGATCTTGCACGTGCGTCGGCACCAATTGAAGAAACGGACGACAATGCGCCGGCAATGTGACAGCTTGGCGCGCGCGCGACGAACGACTGATCGTGAAGCGAACGCGGCCAACGAGAGAACGTATAGCGTACCCTACCCCGCTTGTCCGAGACCAGCCCCACTACCCGCCATCTGCGAGTCTGTTTTCTTTTTCTCTCTCCGAACGTACGAGAGTGGGAGAGCCAGACGCACAACCCTCGCGGATCTTTAATCGTGTTTACGTCGTGCAACCATCTCTCAGCGGCATAATAAAGCAATGTTTACATTGTTTCTTTATAACTCGCTACAACGATGAATATTGTTTTTTATAGAATTGCTGTAATGAATATTCTATATTAAAACCGTAGAATTTTAGAAATTGAAATTTCGGATAAACGTGTGACAAACTATAAAGAATTCTACCATTCTGTAATATTGTTGTAGGACAATAATATTTTATCTACTTTTATGCTGATGCTAATTATAATTGAGTCAATATACAAAATCAATCTTGTATTTAATATTTTTTGTTTATAATATTATATTTGAAAATATGACATTTGTCCATGAAAATCGTAAACATTCTTTTGTACTCTTCGAGACGTAATGATTATGTATGCCGTTGATAACCACTGTCTGAAGGAGAAAGCAGCTGCTGTGGTAATAATTAAAGGGGTGGAGTTCCGAATAGGTGAACCCTCCGATTTTTTTGAAACTACACTATTTTTTGTATTTTTGAACGCTGATTACGAAAGTTTACGATATATCATTATTAATATTGAAAATCTTTTCTCCGTTCCGATCATTATCTGCGCCAGGTAATACATTGCCAGGTGGCCTTTCCACAGACCAGGAAAGGATACGGAAATCGATTTTTCCAACTTTTTACTGCTGGGGCGCAGGAACGCTGTAGGAACTCGATCTCGATCTATGACGCGCGAAGGTCCCAAGACCGCCGGTCTATGACGATAAAATATAAATTAAAAACGCGTTGACACACTTTCACCGTTAAATGCCCGCTACTATGTACCTGCGACGTAACGTAACGACTGCCATTCAGCTTTTGATGGAGTTGGAGCGACCGCCAGAGCACATCGCGCGTAAAAATCTCGCGGAGGAGACTTCTATAAAATACCTATGTATATATCGCCGCGTTTATTTGTGAACGAAAAGCTGCAAATCGCGACGCAGTTTGCGTGACTCAACTCGTTCTCTCCCACTCGATCTTGTTCTTTTCTCCTCGAAAATCTACTTGGTCTGAGTGCTGCGGAATTGCAACGCGAGGAAACCGCGAAATTGTAATGCACACCGTTAAAGGCGCGCCGCAAAAGTACCTTTAGAGGTCGTCATATATCATTATCGATCGCGCGTCGGGAAATGTTGTCCCTTATATCCCGTCAAGGCTCGAAGGCTATAAAACTTTGCAAAAAAATGTCATGAAGATTGTGCGATTCGCGCGCACGCAATAGCGGTGACGACGTGTTAACGAGTTTCGCTTATTGTAATGAAAATCGAAATTCGAAGAATCTGAGATTTTTGAAAAAAAATTTCGAGATTCATGAATTTAACATTGCGTACACAAAGCACTTTTAACTTTTTAAAATATAAAATTAATAATTAATTTGTGAGTTAAAGTCAAGATTTGCTCTCTGTAAAATATATTATAATTTAATCTCAAAAATGTTGAACTGACTTTTTTGTAGTGACTGTACCACGAAAATTTTATAGTGGCTGTATACCAAAATTCATGAAAATAAAAATTTTAATTCTACAGGACAAATTTTTACTTTGACTCATAAATTAATTATTAATTTTATATTTTAAAAGGCTAAAAGTGCTTTGTGTACGCAATGTTAAATTCATGAATCTCGAAATTTTTTTTCAAAAATCTCAGATTCTTCGAATTTCGATTTTCATTACAATAAGCGAAACTCGTTAACACGTCGTCACCGCTATTGCGTGCGCGCGAATCGCACAATCTTCATGACATTTTGCTTCGGCTGTGCAATGTCAAATTCACGAATCTCGAAATGTATTAGATTCATTATATAACTTTTGACGTAGCTGATCCGTCCAGTTCCTTCTTAAGAAAGAGAGAGAACTATTTTACAGTAGACACATTATGCGCAGGAACAGATGAAAAGATAGGACGGAACGGTAGAGTCGTGAAATCGATCGAATCGCGACTGAGTGGAAGAATGGAATTTCTCTGTCACTTTTGGGGAAGAAACATCGGTTTCCGAATAAAAGCGAAATTATATTCTATGAGATAAGAAACGATACTAAACGAAGATGCTCCCACCTTGTCTTTAAATCGAAATATCACGCAAAGACGCGACTGATTATCCGCGATGTAATAGCGAAAGAATTTGTAATGCTTTTACAACATTGTCACAAGTCGTTTGGGTCCTTAGCTTCCCTTTTAGGATAAAAACCTTGCAGATATTAAGCCCTATATATAATTTTAATATGATATATAATCTGTAATTTATTTTATAATTAAGGGGATATCGCATTTTAACATAAGTAAATAAATATTGAAATTAGATAAAAATATTCGCGGATTACAATATTCGACAGTATAATTAGATTAGATGAATTTCAGATAAACAATAATATCTTATATACTTGTATAAGAAATTAAGTCAACATCGCATATAAAGTCTAACATTTATTTAAAAGATATAATTTATCTTTTTTTGATCGAGAAACTATTTGTGTAAATTAATTTAATATTTATATATCTATTTTTTTTTAATTTAAAATTTTTTAATTGCGGTTTATTAAATAATATGGCGTAAGAAAAAATAAATGATGTATGCGCTTTGTAATTTTCTAGTAATATGTAAATTTTATTTTCAGTATAGATATGTATTCTAGAAATCAAATTTATATAATTATAGATAAAAGTCGCAGCAATCACGAAATGGTACACGAAGGATTTAAAAATTTATCCTTGCATCATTTCCTGATTAATTACGAAGAAAATCTTACGCATTTAAGCTGATAGGTTTTGTTCGAAGATCAAATCGCATGGTCGATCGTGTCGAAATGACATATAATTGAACGGCGCGTCGATTCATATATTGAGAGGGACATATATCGGCGATCGCACAACATTATATTAGATATACATCTCCAACGTCAATGCTTGGAATGTCAAATGCTCGCGCGTGGAAAAAAAATCATCGGATTAGCTGATATATATATAATAAAGCTTTGCAAACATATTTTTTTGCCTTCCTCATGCATGGAAAAATGCGGTCGTTCTGAGCGTACCCAGCCTATCGAAGGAAAGAGACGGCGGAGCTAAACGAGGAGGGCCAAAAATATCCGATTCCCCAAAGGCAATAAGACGACGTTTTTTTTATCCTGAAATAAAATTCGCTCGCGGCTGCATTGCGGATGCAGCGGTCTTCGGGCCGCTTCGAAATATCACGGCAGCGATACGTTTCGTATCGTAAAGTCGAGAAGTTTAGCCGACCAGTCGCGATTAACGTCCCCGGGCTTTCTCTTTAAACGCGGGATTTAACAATCCCGCGGGGTCGAAAAAGTTACGAGGCACGTCGAATCTGCAGAATCGCGACGTGATTAAGCAACGATGACTCTAAGTAAATTGCCAGTTATTTCGGTGTTTGTCCGACAGAAAGAAAAAGAGTTAAAGAAAGAGGGAGAGAGAGAGAGAGAGCGAGAACTTGTTTTTCGGATGTAAAAGATAATTAATTTTTCCCACTGTGCCATTTTGTAAATACTTCGACGCTATAGTCTTAAACTCACAGGAACGAATCCTGAGTCACGGGATCGTTTAACGTGCATGCGCTCGTGCGCGCGACGTTAGTCACGATGTCACTTAATTAAAATTGCTCGTTGAACGTCAGCCAGCACGAATCAAAAAGCCATGCCACGTACACGACGAGACGTAAAGAAGTAAATTAATTCTCGCTCGCGTTTATGACCTTTTATGGAGCCGCTTCTACAGTCTAGTAATTAAATTACGTTCCTCATTACGCAAAATTAAATCTCCATAGATATGGAATATAAAATATAATATTTCCTTTATTCTCATAATTTTTTCTCATTTTTTATACTTTTGTTTAAAATTGTATATTGTATTCTGGATGACCGATACAGATAACGATAAGGATAGATTCAGACTATGCGCTTAGCACAACGGGTATGCGATATATGTTTTGTATCATGTGCGCAACTCTTACTTTCACTTTTAAGGAAACCGTATATTCGTTACGGCACGCCAATTTTACAAGTCAATTATAACGCGTTGGTAAAAATTATTTCGAAATCACCTCGAACGCAGAGCGAGACGTGCATCGCATTGACTTCGCTTCTGTCACCGTGGAATTTCCAAGGATATTTCAAAAAATTACGAAAAATTATATCAATCTATTTCTTCTCTCTAATTCACATTTTAATCAATTTTGCACGACAAACAAAGCAACGAGGGGGAAAACACGGCTCTCGTAATTTACGCGTTTTACATGAATTTCCATCGTGAAAAGTGGAATTTACATTTGTTCTCTCTCGTCTCGGCGTACGATCCAAATTTAGACGGCCTCTTATACGCCTCGTCTGCGCACTCGTTCAGCCGCTGTTGCGACTTTTCTACATTGTCGCGAATGAATATTTCGTACTTTTTCACGATTCAGAATATGAATAGAGCCTGGAAAAAAAGACGTGAATAAAAAAATGCTTTTTTTCCGACGAAAAACGATAAATGAAACACCACGAATAGCATCACGTTTGTACAAGACACACACTGTCATCGGGAAATTGTGTTCAATGAATTATAAGCGTAGGGAATGAATAAAGCAGTGGAAAACAAATCACGAGTATACTCTCAAGTCCTCTGTCAAACATTAACGGAGATTCGCTTCTGTTGTATTATACAAACTGGTAAATAGCGTTGATAAATTTTAGGAATCGTACACGAGGATTTTATCGCAGGACTTTGTAACATCCTGTGGGATAACGTATCGGCGAACGCTAAACACACAGCGAGGAAATTCTATCGATAAGAGACGCCGACAAGGACGGCTTCTGTCGGCAGATATATTTTTATTTATATTGACTCATGTTGAAATCTTGAAGCATGAAATATATCGTCAATTATTAGACAAACACACACAATAAATACAATTTATAGAAACTTTAATATACACTAACAATAAATACACATCCTGTCTCGTATCATTTTGTTCAAAGAGAGATTATTTAAAAAAAAAATTATTTTTACAGAAAAGAAGAGATTATTGGTAGAATTTATATTTATTTTATAACATCTTGAATTGATGATTAATGTTATTTTGAAAAAGGCGCTGGCGGTGAACGGTAATGTGATAAAAATTAAGATCTCGACTTACTCAATTAACTCGCTCAAAGTTTTATCAGACTCATGAATATTTCAAACGAATCATTTAGTTAATTGTTAGTTAACAAGCAAGACATTTCTCGGTACAATGTGCGCGTTGAAAGAGATGCTGAGTAGAAGCACTCTGCGATGCCTCGGAAATATTAGCGCGTAATTAATTCGCCACCAGAGACTGGCTAGAAAGTACATAAACGCGTTTTGAAAGCTCGTTTCGACGCGCTACGAAATAATAGATCGTCCGAGTTGCGCACGCGAGATCATATATCAGCTGTCAGAGGAAGATCTCGTGACATTTGTCGTTAGACAGAGGTTGCTGATATAAACCCAATAGCGCCGCTGAACTCTGACACCACATAACTGCGTGACTAACGAAGCGTTAATCAGCGGGCCACAAATCTTCGTTTAGTTTATGCGGAAAAGATTCGATGGGGCCGATCCTGAAGGCGCAATATCTCTCTCGATCGAATGATGAACCCACGCGCGAATGGCTTTTGTGAACCAAATTGCCCGCGTGAATTACTTTTAAGATACGTGTCGATGTGTCTGGTGAGATAACGCGAGGAGAGAGGTCATTTCCGATTTGAAATCCGAATTCATCTAACGAGATAAATGGTTTAAGCTGCTCTTTTATCGCGATTTACCATCTCCGTCTGTACTAGTTTCCTCGAGGATCATTCGGATAATTTGCGCGCGCAATTGGTGCCATTATTCATCGAGTTGTACGGCTATTAAGCTACGCCTTTGCCACCCTGAAAGTAACGTTTTCTATCGCGATAGCTTAAGACGCAATCATTCATGTTGGTATCCGGTCGTACAAGACTACGCGGCGTGAATTGATAAGAAATTGACTTTTATGTAATAACGATAGAAAGTCGAGATTAATGTAAAAACAGGTCGCGATCGTAACGACACGGGTTATAAACGTATATCACACTATTTAACGAGACTAATAGTTTGTCGTGTACCGATAGGTTCAGTTATGGCCGCTCTGGTTTTATCACTGGAGTCAGGAACGACATTACCCAGCAAGTCGAACGACTGGGATTTTCCTGGTAAGAGAACATCGGGGCTTTAACAAGGTCGACTTTCTCCGGAGCGATGGCGGTACTGTTCTGTTCAAAAGAAAATACAGTCACGAGGAAATATACTACATTTCGGATTTCAAGCTGGATTTATTTTGACCTTGAATTTTTTTTTTTCTAATCTCTATTATAGTATCGCAAATATATTTTTACAAACGTTTAATTACTTAGATAGAAGACACCAATGTAAGACGTCTTATAAAAATTTATTTTATATAAAAGAAATATTCAAGAGGAGAGAACATTATCAGACACTCTATTTTTAATTATTGATGAACAGCTAAAAAAGGCAAAACAGTCCAAAATGAAGAGATATAAGAGATAATGACATTCGCTTTCTTCATTCTAATGTTAACCGAATGTTTTTTTCTCTTCCACTTGAAATGGATATATTTTTTAAATCTCTTCTGTCAGAGTTAACGAGAACATAGCGGACTTAATCTCATCGCGTTTTTGTCTTCGAAGAACTCGTTTTACGTTCCGCCGGCCATTTCAATTTACTCCAATTTCGTTCCTCGGCGAAGCCGGAACGCATAAATTACATCGATTACGCGTTTCACCGGCAGGATAATATGCCCCGATTGATTAACACCGACGTATTCTGAGAATTCTTGTATTGTCCGCTTCACCTAATCCGTGAATGGCGCTACCTGCACTTGTAGTTTCTTCAAAGAGGAAGTCGACACCTAGCGAGCACGACAGCTTTCTATCTGACAAAGGCAATGAAACATCGTTATCGTTTTCCTCGACAGGGCAAAAGGAGAACGATATTTCCATTTGTACAACTTTTACATATAATAGAGCGTCTAAATTTGATCATTCGACACGATCGTGAAAAGGAGAAAGCACGGAGAGATTCATGGGTGATTAAACTGGATGGATTATATTAGCGATCGAATGAACGTGAACATTTCACGCGGCACTCTCGCAGATTTAAGTAATTGAAAAAATAATATTTTAAACCAGTCCAAGACGGCTAAGCAAGTCTGGATGTCTGGTTACTTTCAACGCGTATAACTCGCAGGTATCCGTGAATTTGTTCCGCGATGAAATAGGAGCGAGGACTTTACGACAAAGTGCATGAAAAAGCCATTTCTTGCCACAGTAAGAGAATTATAAAGGGTGCCTTTATGAGCGGGGGGGAGGGAGAAGGGGCGGCTGATAGTGGGGGTGGCGCAATGCGGCGCCGCATCTGCACGCGGGCGGGAAGACCATCGCGTCGAGAGAAATCTTGGGAAGCAGCGTACATGTGTTCCACAAACTTATGTATATATGATCGATCCTCCGCAGCTTATCCGCAGTTAATGAAACATTGCGCGATTAAAAGAGATCGTTAATTAACGCGCGCTATCGGAGCTCGCGCGATAGCGGCTCCTCCGATCAAACGTCACGCGAGATTGCACGGGTACAGGTGGTGCGCCTTGGTATCCGCATGACGAATGTAGAGATGTAATGCGTGATAACAGTCGGATAAACGAGCGCGCGTGGTCAGAACGGCGTGAAAAGTTCCTCTTTCCACGCCGGTTTCTCGTCGTCTGTCCGTGGCGCTCGTCTCGTTCTCTCCTTCCCTCCGAATCAGGACCCGTGCTCCTCTTTATTCTCATCTCATCGGCGTAGCGACCCTCCCCACTACGTGGGCTTCCCGCTCTCGTATCGAACGCCCTGTGACGTCATTGAACTCTGTATGACGTCGTACCAGCGGCTCTCATCCGAGGAAACCGTGGGCGGTCTAGTGGCGATACGTGAGGAGTCATCCAGGCAATATGTATCTGATAACGCAATATTAATCAGAGCCCTCATCCGCGACCGATTTAAATCCAGGTTGGGATTACAAATTATCGGTCGTGGTAAATGCATGGACGGCAGAAAAGTCGTTTGCGAGAGTATCTCTTTGGTGGCAGCTTGGCTTTCTTTTCATTCCACGAAAATCGTGTGAGATGCAGCTAAACGATGATTAAGAGTACACGATCACGACGTAAATTTGAAAGCCTTCTCTCTCACATGGCTTGCAGCTTCTCTTTTCGAGTTTATTCCCATGGACTTTAGCTCGTCCGGTTGCCGTAATATTGCGTTATTGGCCCGTTATAGTCTTCCTCAACTTCCATCGGACCGAAAACCGGTGTGTGGGCTGGTAGTGCATAATCGCACGCACTACCACCTGGCTGGAAGTGCGCCAAGTTAGGGAGATGCATGAGAGTAGGAAAGCATTCGTCACCAACTCCCCGGGGATCATTGATCTGACATTCTCCGCGATGACGTCACCGCCGTTCGATAGAAACGGGTCAAACGTCACGAAAAATGGTCTTGCTCGAAGTTCCTGGCTGTGATTCAAGAGAACGGCGGCTATTCCTTTTTCCTATGCATGACAGTATTATGCGGCGAAGTGAGCGATCAATCGAAACTGATTTGTAGATATTCCAAGAATGATAGTTCGAAGAATGCAAATGTATGATACAAATAATGACGGAGATAAAATGATTTTCAGTTAATAACAATCTGAGAAAGAAAGGCATTACATTTTTTTTCTTAGATAGCATTATGAAACTCTAATCAAGATAATTATCTTTATAACATTATCTCTTTGATCTGTTAATTGTAAATCTGCAACGATTATAAAAGTGTAACAATTTGATAAATGTTAGTCCATTATAGGAATCAATTATCGTAATTCTAGTTCAATAACAGACCCGTCCAATAGAAAGCAGAACATTTATCGGGAAACTTTCATCGGAAGTTCACTAAACTCGAGTACCGTACCGACGTGAGATTGTTAAGACCATAAGGGATGAGACGAGATAGAGAGACAAAAAGAAGAGAAGAGGTAAGACCGCCTCGACATTAGAAAAAGCGGCTGCTTTGGCGGATCGGAACAACCTGGCATCGCACGCTCGTCCATCTCTCTCCCTCTCTCTCCTCTCTCTCTCTCTTTCTCTCTCTCTCTCTCTTTCTTTCTCTTTCTCGGTGGTGCTTGGCGGAGAATATACGTTTCTCCGGAAGCGGCCGACGCGCCGGCCGGGCGCGCACGATTCGCGGCGTACGGGGGCGCGCGAGCGAGCCGGGGGTTGCACGGAGCGAGCAGTGTGCTCGCAAGGGTTGCCTCGGCTTGCCAGGCACGCCGCCAGTGCAGCCGCCGGTACACCATCAGGCGAGGATAGTACGGCGATGCGTTTGGCTGTGCTGAGCTGAGCTGTGGTGAGCGCGTGCGAGAGGAGGAGAGGGCTCCTTCTTCTACGCTCATCCTGTTCGCGACTTGCCTCGGAGGGGTGAGGAGGACAGGAAGATGTAAGTGATGAACGTGATTCGAAGCTTGTCGGGAGCGTCGAGTACGCGACGGATAATCGCACGTGACACCAGAGTGTGCGAGATACTCGGATTGTCGTATTCACGGAGGAGATGACACGCGTGTCGCACGGGGCGGGATTTACTCTCCGCAAGGGGTAAGCTCTTCCTCGTGCGGGGAAGACATTTCATTCCCGATGTACTCGCCACGCCGGTGGTCGATGAAGGCGATGGACGATGCGCGATGGTCGATTCGCGGGGACGTGTTAGTAGACATCGTCTTGGCGGGAACGATGACAGGTGACGAGAGAGACATAGTTCTCCTTCGCGCCTCGTCGCGGCGTTATACATTGGCGGCAGTAGCAGGTGCCGCGAGGATGAATGAGACTCGCAAACGATGTGTCCCCTGCGCATTTCTAACTATATCGTGATAATGAAATAATGAAAGGCAGATCCGCGATTGGAATTTATGAACGGTATCTCGATGCAAAATTCATAGCAAGGCACGAAGAATGATGATTCGCCATAGTTGGCGGAAAAACTGATCGCATAATCCGCGACAAGGGTACCCCGTTGCGTTTGTGATTGATGTTTCTCGTATAGTCGCGCGGCAAACGACACGACGTATGACAACAACTTTGGACTTAAATGCTTGGAACTTAGTCTTTCTCGTCCTCTGCAAACTCGACGATCATTATTTTACGTCGAGCAAATCTCATGTACTATACATCATCGAAAAAGAGCTTTTGTGTACTCATGAAATATGGTTTTTACAATGCATGCTAGTTATGAGTAAATCAACATTGGCGTAGGTTCGTTTAAAGCGATCAATACTTATTTGACTTTTTAATTCGAGATACGCCGAGATGGATATATTATATTTCACCCCCGCATTGCCTTCACCTTACACAGGTGATCAACTAGAACTTATGTCGCGCTCGTTCATCAAACGTTAACTGATGGTGCACTGCTGCTGCAGTTAGAGCTGACGTTTGCCGCGTTGTTATACTTTTTCATCGAGCAGCGCGAAGACAAAAAAAGAGCGCCCAGATCGATTCTAATAGCGTGGCGAGTCAATCGAACCGAGACTTGACAGAACATAAAAATAGTGAACGCGGAACGTGTGTACTTGGCCGTAGAAATATCGTGAACGATGTTATCCCGCAATGTTGGTTGGGTTGTCCTTGCTCGTGCGACCGCTGTGTCAAGGCAAACTGCATACATACGTGCGACATCAGATCGGATAATATTCGCGCACTAACAACGTAGTTTGTTCGAACATTATCTGACCGCTCCTCATAAATGCTCCCCTCGTTCCCCTCGGTTGTCCTCGGTTTCACAGGGGGTGCGGCTGATACGTAATTCAACCGAATTTCCGGATATTAAAGATAGACTTTCGATATCTCTAATTCAACCGATAGCTCGTTAATTTCCCTGAAAGAAGTAACAGCACGTTGATGATATTAATCGTATAATGTTAATCCTGTAAGCGATTATAATACCTTCTTGTGTAACAGCTTTAATTACATCGACTATTGTAAATTAGTTTAGTATCAATTGCACGTGCCATTTGGAAACTCTCTTTTTCCCTCTTTTTTTTCTCTCTCTCTCTCTCTTATCTGTGTAAAAAGCTTGCAGCATCGACCTTGTCCTTTGCGAAATTACTCATGTTGTACACCGTCGTGAAATCCCTCGGGTCATGTATGTTTTCGCGGCGCCGAGTGCGAAGTGCAAAACAACGATGAGTCGATATATCGATTCATTTCCGATAATATATTACCTCCCATGACGATAACGCGTATGCGCACGTTATACGTACGTATATCTCGTTGATCCCCCTGATCGCGACGGTATCGAGTTTAGCGCAAATTGTCATGGCGTGTTGGAGAACACGCGAAAAAAAAAATACGTCCTCGCGTTCGGCAACGATGACGTATCGATCGTTGCACGCGCCTATCGCCAGAAATAACTGCAATCACTTTTAACAGGAACGCAATTTTAACGTGAGCATACTAGGCTCTCGATGAATTTCCAACACGTGTAGAAAATTTCAGTAAATCTATTTTTTCAACAAAAGAAGTGGAGAGAGCAAGAATGTGAAAGAGAAAAAGTGATAATCATTATTATTCTGATTCCCATGAAAAGGCAATTTTTTTCCCGAAAGTACAAAAGTATCTCATTGTTTGTTCATTCGACTGGAGAGAAGGATCGAGTAGATGCACTTGTGATGTATCCAGATTATAAATATTCCATAAAATAAACAGAGTCCGAAAGCTTAAACTTCGACGCCGATCAATCACTGAAAACTGTCGCGGTGAAATATTTGCATACGTTGATGTATAAAGACAGATAAATGAATGTGATCAATGCGTTATTTATTCTGCATGTTTTCGCGTTCAGTCTCGCGGATCATTGATTAATCTGTCGCGGTATAAAAACTGCGTATTCACAAACATTCGCGAGGCTGACTTGCCGCTCTTATCATCGCTCTTATCGTCTCTTATCATCGTGATACGCGAACTCGGGCAGATCACCGGCGAAGAAGCAATGTCGAGAGCCGCGTGTACCATCGTGACATCGTGTGTCTACGTCTCCCTACAAAGTGCAACGAAGCAGGGTGTACGACCTGACTCCGGGCGACGGTGATATAGAGCGAGCTGCGCGTGTATTTCTAGAGCAGCCGGTTTAAGAATAGAACGGCAAGTAGACGACTGGATTAAATATAGACGGTGAACGACCGGCAAGTAGATTACGAAATTTCATTGAAGTCACGAAGATCCGTAGATGCGATATCTCGGTATCACCGATACCTAAGATCGTTAAGTGGATGTCCTTGTGATATCGAGTAAATCGTGGGTTCTTCATCCGTCACCGAGAAAGTCGACATTATTTTGATTCCTGACAGGATATTTCAGGTGCTTTGCACGAGGGTAATTGCAGTTTTAATCGCATCAAGTCAGTCCAGCATGATCGATGAACGCGATATGCATTTGTAATCTTTAAACTTTGAACAGATTTGCATCCGTGATTATTAATCGAAATTGTTGGAATTAGATTCAGAGGAGAACGTTTTATCTCCCGATGACTCTTGCAAGATTCAAAGGAAACGTCAAAAATATCCGCAAAATGTATCAATCACTGAAAACTGTCGCGGTGAAATATTTGCATACGTTGATGTATAAAGACAGATAAATGAACGTGATCGATGCGTTATTTATTCTGCATGTTTTGCGTTCAGTCTCGCGGATCATTGATTAATCTGTCGCGGTATAAAAACTGCGTATTCACAAACATTCGCGAGGCTGACTTGCCGCTCTTATCATCGCTCTTATCGTCTCTTATCATCGTGATACGCGAACTCGGGCAGATCACCGGCGAAGAAGCAATGTCGAGAGCCGCGTGTACCATCGTGACATCGTGTGTCTACGTCTCCCTACAAAGTGCAACGAAGCAGGGTGTACGACCTGACTCCGGGCGACGGTGATATAGAGCGAGCTGCGCGTGTATTTCTAGAGCAGCCGGTTTAAGAATAGAACGGCAAGTAGACGACTGGATTAAATATAGACGGTGAACGACCGGCAAGTAGATTACGAAATTTCATTGAAGTCACGAAGATCCGTTGATGCGATATCTCGGTATCACCGATACCTAAGATCGTTAAGTGGATGTCCTTGTGATATCGAGTAAATCGTGGGTTCTTCATCCGTCACCGAGAAAGTCGACATGATTTTGATTCCTGACAGGATATTTCAGGTGCTTTGCACGAGGGTAATTGCAGTTTTAATCGCATCAAGTCAGTCCAGCATGATCGATGAACGCGATATGCATTTGTAATCTTTAAACTTTGAACAGATTTGCATCCGTGATTATTAATCGAAATTGTTGGAATTAGATTCAGAGGAGAACGTTTTATCTCCCGATGACTCTTGCAAGATTCAAAGGAAACGTCAAAAATATCCGCAAAATGTATAGTCTTTTCTATTCTTTTCGTGTTGCACCTACATCATACAAATATAAAAAACTCGCGGAAATAATCACAATCTCGACAGTTGCGAGATTAAAGTCGCGAGATTAGAGGATAAATGTGGACCTGGAAGCCATTCTTTCTCAGATATCATAAAACCCGATATTAGGGAGGATTATAAATATCTAAAAATGAGGAAGAGGAGGAAAGACAAGAGGCGAGTTCGTGTCTGAAATACGAGATGACTAAAAGCCGGTGCGCGACTTCTGTCCCGGCGCAACGAAACGGTAAAAAACGGATTTGATGGGAAACCAATAATCAATAGCTGATTTTTTCGTCGACCTAAAATTCTCCATTCGTTCGGAGGCGGCGAATTGAAACTGAAATCCCGCGCCACTCGTCGTCGCTCATGCACGAATTTTGATACTTGAAATTTTATCTGGAAAGGGTATGAATGAAAAAAAACAAAACGCGCGTGCACATTAAGCAAGAGATGAAGAAACTTGACAGCAATTAAACCAGACGCTTTCAGCTTGCCGGATGTTCCTCGAACGAGCGGAACAGCTGGCGTAGCGGTTCGATATCCTCAATGAGCTCCTCAATGCACCGGAACGAGTGTATTGTTCGGCGCAGTAGAGTATGCTGTATAGGTCATTCCTCGTTTAGTAATTTAAAGAGAGATAATGAGAGGGGGAGAAATTTTCGAATCTCTTGAAAAAGGTTTTCTCGGAATGTTTCTCTTTCTCTCGCGCGAAAATTCTTATTTATAATTTGTACAATTTTGAACGAGACACATTCATACAAATAAGATTTCTTAAATATCTTTCAGAAGGATGCCAGCAGCCGGTGCGGCCGTGCCGGCTGTCGCCGAGGGAGCCGGTCAGCTGGAGGACCTGGACGAGCCACCGGAGCCACGTGCTCGCGGCGGTGGCGGACGGACCGGCCTGATGAAACCCCTGGTAGTGTTGGCTCTACCCGGGATGTACCTCTTTTATAAGTACAGCCAGTACAGGCGGGAGCAGCGCGAGCTCTCTCGCAGAAGAGTCACCGAAAGGGAGCTACAGCATCTTCATCATAAAATCGTGAGTGCGAATTTCTCTAGCTGTACACATATGTGTATACCTGCCCCGAGCATTTGCCTGTTGGTAGGTCAAGGAACTTGCGCACGAGATGGGTCTCTTGCGATCGTAACATCCCACCTGTTGTGTTACGTCATCGGTCCGAGAGTCTATCTTTAGCCGCGAAGCGCAGACTGAGATAATAACTCGAATTACACGCGGACACGTTTGTGCAACAATTTATTTATGCTGACTTTGCTACTCGGTCGTATTATTTTTACGTCGAGGCGACAAAAATACGAAAGTTGGAATCGCGGATGGAGTAAAAGAGAAAGAATGTGGGTTGGGAATAAATATGATTTATTACTATCGGCCCCCGAGAGCAATTTATTATACACATATATTCTGTACCCACGTGATTTTGCCCTTGTTATACTTTGATATTCCGAAAACAAACGACAGCATTGAAATGCTGAAGCGATGAAAGAGTATTATTTCCGGCGATATTGATCTCTGACGTGAGCGACGACAATGGGTTCAGGAAAAAAAAAAATCATTTTACCCTTTCTAATCAAAGGGTTCACGACGTGCGTCGTTTATCGGAGATTTGTCAACGGGATGACGACATTGCATAGCTTGTTTCTATACCGTCTTAGGACGGTGATAACGAGAGAATAAGGAAGGGATGGGAGACGTGAGAGAGAGCGTGAGAAAGTGGTGAAAGGGTTCGATTATCCAGAGGGAAGGGAGAAACGTGATCATCCCCCGTTGCTCGAGAGAAAGCTGTATCTTCTTCTAAAGGCTATAACCACTTGCTTTTATACGTCGCGATCCTTATTAAGTGGCCGTCTTAGCGGCGTTTTGTCTTCGTTATTATCCTAGATCTTCTCAGTAGCTCGCATCGTCTCATGAAAGAAAATGCGATCGTATCCGCGTAACGATGCCTCGTATTTCTGAAACTTTATTTGCCGAATCAACGTGAGCTTTCTTTGATCGAGTACTTCCGTAATCGATTCTTTCTCTTTGTTAACTGAATTTAGCTAAGAAAAGAGAGGTACCTCAACTTTCCACTTTGCGGTGTTTACGTTTGCATGATTTAGGGGACACGTTATCCCGTTATTCGAGATGTGCATGCAAAGATGTGGAAAGCCGGCCGGTCGCTGCATTAAACGGCCCACTGGACCTTGTCGATATCCACTCGGGAGATAGCTGACGCCGCAGAATCCACATTTCATGGAAACTCTGTAAACTGTGAGAACGCGTATTGATTTCTGTCCGTCCCGGGCTATCGTGATTCGGGTCGACTTAGCGGGTGCTGATCCGCTGATGGAAAGGCGACTCGCGACAACTTACTAGCCGTATAGACGATAGCGTATCGAGAACGACTCGCACTAACAAATGACTCGGTCGTGAAAGATATCGCAGGGCATGATCTTTGTTTGAGATTCCGATTGGATTGAAACTGTGCGAAAGCTCGTCTCCTTTTTCCTCCGTTATTCCGCTCGAATAAGTTTAAATCTTGTCCGGTATACGAGGTGTACAAACTGTTCGAAACTTACGACACGGTGCTCCATCCTCTCAAGGTCGTCCCGGTTCCAGGATAATTTGTTAGGTCAGTGCCGGGCTTGGCAAGCACGACGGAGCGAGTAAAAAGTGTCCCCGCTAGGGAGACCTGCCAAGAAGCTGCGTACACGGATCGTTACTGAGATACCGTGAATACCTCGTGCAGCCTCCGTAACCGTGGATCGCATTCGCGGTGTCGTGCAGGAAACCGGAATTTCACGAAGCTGATTCACGTCTAGCCAGCTGATTTATCGTCTCGCTATTGGAAACTGGAATTACTAGGCTGCGGGACAACCCGAATGAGACAAAGAAAGAATTTCAAGCCAACTTATCATTTAGCGCGTTCGCGTAATGTATGTTAGAACAAGAGGAACCTTGGAGAGGCTCTGCAACGGGAGCGATCAACCTCAACCTTGACGATATAAACGTAGGAAGCACCTCCAGAAGTCGGCGTTGTTTAAAAATCGAGCGTTTCTTACGAACCGATAAAACTTGACGAGGTGGCGGTGGCGTGCTTCCAGATAAGGCTCACGCCAATCCGACGTTAAGATCGTAACCAAGCGGCATGTGGACTTTATCCGCTGTATATTCGTTTAACGCCGTCGTGATGAACGGGGAACGATAGAAGCGAAAGTCAAGGAAAAGAAAAATCGATGTGTACCGTTCGTCACTCGAGATTATCGGCGTCAGATATCGCGCTCCCTTCTTTACTTCCAATATCTTTCTTTTCTCGACGCTGTTTGCGACAGTTTCGGATTTTCACTCGCGTGAACAGAACAGTAGAATGCCGCAACAAAGTTTTTATAATTTTTACAATTTTCGTGTAAAAAGTATAAATGTTTTACATAAAAACAATTTTTACGTCATACGCCTTTTATTTTACGTCGTGCCCGTCATTTCATTACGATGTTTTTCTTTATACCAATTTGGAAATGGCCGAGTCGCACGGCAGTCGTAAAAACAAAGCGAATTTTCTCCCTCGATGCAACGTAATTGGGTTCGCAGAAAATAACAAGCTGGCGGGATTGTACCTCGTGGCGGCCGTCCCGAGCCGTCGGCGGACTAAAGTTTTACGCTTCTGTCTATTTCCCTTTGCGAGTCACGTAAGTGCACGTCCACGCGATTCCAGCAGACGAGTCGTCGTTACAACCACCCTTCAACTACTAGCCGTTGGCGTCCCCGGTCACTCGACGAACTAAAAAAAACTTTTCGATCCACGGTTATGGCCAGCTAACGATCCAAGCTGTTGTTTCTAATACTTTTCGAGTAAAACATGTTCATCTTATTGTTGGAGCGTATTTTATTTATCCTAAAAATCCACCTTCGAATATATCAAAATTATTTTATAAAGCTATTATTTTTGCAAATTCGAAAGAAATTTGCAATGATAAAGTTCTTTTACAAAAAGAACTTTTCGCGAGTTGATCTTCAAGATATGCGTTATTGCTTGTAATTTCAGAGAGTATGTGCATATCAGTTTTTAAATCAAAAGTTTTCGCGGCACGAAGTTAAATAATGAACTCGTAAGTGCTTGGTCGTCGACCCCTGGAGCGTTCGGGGTTAGGGGTTGATAATGCCATAGAGAACCGGCACAAACCACCATAATGCACGCTAGTAACGCGACCCGATGCAATCTTCCGCTTCCGTCGGAAGGGTTGCGTGAGGGTTATTCAATTTCTGGAAAGGGTTTCTCGAATCACACTCGTCCTTCTCTCTGTTTTGCCGTTGCACCTCGTGTAAAGAGTTTTTCCTCCCGCTACATTTGTTAACACGAGCATAGATTAATGCAGTGTTAACGATTCAAGAAACTTTATATTACGCGAGCAGATTTATTAGACAACAACGAGTGGTAAAGTACTTTAAAAGTTAAGGGTAACGGTAGATATTGGCAGGGATGGTTTATTAATTTATCTTTAAAAAGATGTTGAATTTGTAAAAAGAGTATTTTCTCGATTCTATAAATTATTTATTTATTTAATCCATTTTTAACGGGAAAGAAACCCTTTCGTATTGACTGTTAATAATAGACATCAGAATTAATATAAATCAGAGTCGGAAAAAAAGTAATTGATAGAAATTTACTATTTAAGTAAAATTACAGCTTAAATATGATAATAGTATTTTCTCAAACAATATTAAATTAAATAACGAAGAAGGATTCTTTTAATTGAATTTGGACCTATATGAAAAAAATCAATGTGATTTCAATGCCGAGAAATCATTTGGCAGCGATAATAATTGGGTTACGCCGAGACGTACCTTAGTTAGTCCAAAAGATGGAGCGAGTCTAAATTCATTTCCTCGCAAATTTGATATTCTCGAAAATTCAAAGTCCAATTTATCACGGCGATTCTCTCCGAATATTTCGACGGGGTTGCACAAATAGCACCCCTCCTGCGCGACTTCGCATTTATCTGCGGCGCCATTTTTGGGAAAGTGGATTTAATTTGGTTACTCTCGAGGTTCTCCGTTATAGGACAGCCCGAAATTAGAACAGAACGAGGTAAATCAAATGGAAGACCGGTGGAAGAATGAAGGCTCCCAACTTTGTGTCGGTTTTCATCGAGTGTAATTTCGAAGGTCTTCGTGTGCGACAATATGACACGAGAGTGACATGATGGCCGGCAACTGAAAGAACAAGTGCGTCGGCACGTAACCGTGTCCTTCGCCAAGAAGGATTAACGATATCTAATGTGCTAATATCTCGAGCGTCACTCTCAGACGAACGCGGATACGCTAATTGCGTGACGTCTAGAGAGATTTTTTTATATTATTCTTGACTGGAAATCCCTCGGCTTCGAGATACTGTAATATAAATTTATAGGGATCCATTCGTTCATGGTCCGTCAAAGCCGTCATCTCGCCGGCTGCTATTAGAAGACAGGCGAAGAAAAATAAGAGTTACCGCGCTCCGGGACACCCCGGATAAACTTCAGCTCGAGAAGATGGATAGTTCAGGGAATAGAGAGAAAGTATGAGCGGTGAAGTCTCGAGGTATACAGGGGGTAGGCATATCCCTTCGTACAAGCTCTCTCCGGAAAAGTCCCACGTAAATGCACGTAACTGTCATGGGGGTGCAACACGCGAATGGCCCTAGTCTAACATGTTTGTAACCTCCTCGACAACGAGAACAAAGGGAGATCGATATCCACGACGCCACGGGCTGACGACGCGACGGCGGCGATGATAGTGGTGGTACGTTCCGTGTTTCGTTTCTCATTTCCGCGGAGGACAATGCACCCGACGATGCAAGGATCAAATAGTCGATATCGCGGCAGCGATTTTAGCAGAGAGCGCGGAAACTGCCGACGTCAGTTCGTTTCATCGATTCACAGCGATAACCGTAGCTCCAACGTCGACCCTTAACCGAGAGAATTCCGCGAATAAATTTCGAGATTTCCGACCGCGAGTCTTGTGAAAGCTTACGAATTCTCACGTGACTCGCGAGAGTGTCGAAGGGAAAATTTAAATTGAAAGATTTTTAAAAAATTTGTAAAAAATTTATACAAAATTAAACAAATATTTAAATTTTTGAAGCGGATTTTTTTTTTAATTTTGCTGCGAGAAGGTCGTCTTCATTAATGGGAGAGAATTTTGGATGATGATAGAGCGGATGAAAGGAAATACTGTGGAAACCTGGTACGCGATGTACATGTTATAACCACGGGTGACTATAGCTGGTAACGATACTCGAGGGAGTCTCTCTTTTCGACAGAGAGAGAGAGAGAGAAGGAGCCAACACCGAATACGCTATTACGTGCTGAAGCGAGAGCCGTCTTAGGCCTTTCGCGTGTAACGTGGTCTTTCAAGACTAGGGATATAGCTGGTAACGATACTCGAGGGAGTCTCTCTTCTCGACAGAGAGAGAGAGAGAGAGAAGGAGCCAACACCGAATACGCTATTACGTGCTGAAGCGAGAGCCGTCTTAGGCCTTTCGCGTGTAACGTGGTCTTTCAAGACTAGGGTCATCTATAACCCTGGCCATTGGATTCTTATCGACTCGCCCGTTGTACTGAATTTTTCAGTGTACATGCCAGGTTGATTGACCGCCAGCAAGATATCCCACGGAGTTTCTACATGTCTCGTTCGTGATTCCGAGATGTATCGTGAATTTCGATCCTGTCAATCCTTCTTGCATCGCCAATCCTTCAAGCATCTCCTCCAAAAGAGAGAAAGGATTGTCGTCGTCCGTTTAAAGAAGAATACGAAAAGTTTCTTTGCTTTACACGCGCCTGATTTTATTTTCGCCCATTCCTTGTCCTACGCGAAATGTATTCCGAAATCGAAGAACAGCTTAACAGTGAGTGATCGTGAAAGGTCACGGTGCTATCTTCAAGATGAGTCAGAGAATGTTTCTGCCGTACATAAATCATTCTATCGATCCTGAAATTGCATTCCGACCGCTGAATATGTTATATTGTTCTGTCTACAGTTTTTTAACTGCTGTTGTTGTGCTTGTTCACAAATACAGTGGCATTTTCCGCCGTTTACATGGCAAGCTTTCGAAAAATCGCTATCGCCCTCTATCCCCCTTTTCAAAGGGAACTTTCGAAGGACCCTTCGAATTTAATAACGCGCGATAATTAGAAGGATCATTCCTGTTGGTTCGTTCGAAAAGTTCTCCGCGAGACATTTGAGACAAAAAGTTACTCCGGAAAAGGAGCGGGAGAAGTTGTTTTAGTTTAACGAGCGTTGAAAACGGCAGACGAAATTTCTTCGGGGCCGTGCAATTTGGCCGTCTCGATACTCAAGTTCGGCAGACAAGTTTCACAAAGTGTTGAACGAGTTTCGCGAGGCCGAACTTCCTGAAGAGAACGACCGGGGCTGCGTTCGTCTCTAAGAGACGGGAGGAATTTTTGAGACAAATTCACGATACACTAATCTAGTCATAAACGATATTTGACGAGGGGAAGAACGCCTCGTTTCACGATTCGCATTTCGTAGAATGGAGTGGAATAAGAGCAGCGCGAGAAAATGAAGGTGATCCGAGGGTAGGCCTTCTCAAATAATTTCAACACGCAGTTCCTCTCGTTTGTATTCCCCCAAGCTGTCACTTATAATTTTTAATATGAGCACGTGGCTTCAGAGATTGATCCATTAATTCTCCAAAATGGAAAATAATAAAGTATCTCGGCCTTGAAATTTACATATCCCGAAGGCGGGGTGCATCGGAAACAGCACGAAACTTGCGGGTTCCCCGATCATTAACATTCTTATTCCAACATTCTATTTTATGTATTTATATATTTCTTTTCTATCACGGAAAATCCACGTCGTTCTTTAAAAATACGAAAAGAAAAACATGAAATGTTATCATTCATATCAAGTCATTTGATAATCATATCAAGTCATTTGATAATCTATTTAATCGATCTAATTAATCTATTTAATCAACTGACATTTTAATTTTTCACGCGCAAACATGTTCTTCTAAAAACCGTGTAAAAAAAGACACAAGATTAATGGCACCAGTTAAATACTGCATGTTTTTATAATCTTGGCTTGTTATCAACATACCATTTTTCATGCAAAAGTGTTCTCAAACTCATGCAAAGTCACATATCGTTATTACAGAGTTTTAGTCACGTATTTTTCCTGTTACGTGTCATGTAACTTTATAGTCGTGTCGTACAACTGTTATTCGTGTATCGTTGACAATTATTAAAGGTAAAGGTAGAACGGTAAACGTCGTAAACAATGCGCTCTTATATCTTGCATGAGATCGCAGTGGCTGGTATTAAAAGCGACCGGCACGAGTTGTTTCCTCTTTGACTTGTCACAATTCAATTCGAGCTCTTCCATATCATTTACTATCGCCGCGTTTTATTACGAACTTTGTTTATTTTCTGGGGGAAGGACGGGAGGGGAGGGAGGAACTTTTATCGCCATTTTAGCGATCCCTCGAAGAAGGCAGCAAAATTAATTGAGAACCGTGCATTCATTGTTTACAATGAAAACGGTAGAAATACAAACATCTTTATCGCAAAACACGTTATCTATAAAACGTTGTCGCGCAAGAAGATCTTTTAGTATCCTCCTCCTGTCGAACTTTTCCCAAGATAAATTATCTTGGCGGAAGCGTTACGGAGAATCGCTTTTCGCTTCCTAAGTTAGTAATTTGGTTCATCCAAATCCAGGATTATCGCACATCGATCGTCACTTGCCAAATTTATGGCCCGTCGAATTCCTGGCGTACGGTGCTTGCGCATTCGTGCTCAAATAAAACTTTCCTTGACACTTGGAATTGGCCAAGAAGCCCATGTGAGTCTCGGGCTTCCACACGCAGTTCGCCCAAATCCCCGATCGCCACCTTGGGCATCGACTAGCAGGAAACCCATAGGGGTTGTCCACCGATTCCGCGTAGTAACGCCAGGCTCGATTGTGTCCGCAGGTAACTGATAAAAAATGGAAATGAAATTAATGAAAATAAAAGAGAGATGTTTTAAGAGAGAAAGAGAGAGAGAGCATGTTGACGTCGTCGAAACTCACTGTATTGATTTATGACCCTCCGGAAGCTCATGCGAAAGATGCTCCTTAAATCGCAACCGGGTTGTCGTCTCCTGCCGCCGTTCGGGTAAAAATCGACGTGGCCGAGCGGCTGAGGGAATCCGAAATTGCCACCGTCAGTATGAATGACGTCGACGAATGCGGCGTCGGCCCACGTCAGGTGACCCTCCTCCCCGGTGTTCATGTACAACGGATAAGCCGGGTCCAATCCGGTGATTCTGCCTATCTAAAAGCGCGTTTTCCTCAACGTACAGCTACCCTATATACATATACGGTCTATCGGTCGCGTCGATATCGTGCCTCCCGGCGATAATGCGGTTCCGATAATGCGGCCTTCGATTAGCCAGGGGAATGTGCGACGCATTGTGGCTCTGACGATCGTTATTAGCGGGCCTTACGATGTTACACCTTACCTTCCGCGGCGCCAGAGCCTTCCCCATAAAACCGGCAGCCTCCGCGCCCAGACTGAAGCCGATCACATGAATTTTGGATAAGGGAACGGCTTTCTGCGCTTCGAGCCACCTCATCACATGTGCCAAGTAACGGCCGACGATTCTGGAGTTTTTCACTGCCGTTACGTACCACGGTAATACCCCCAATTTGGCCCAGTTCACCAATATCACGTTATAATGTCCACGACGAAGATACGCTAAAACAAAAATAAGGATGAATATAAAATTGTAAATTTTTCGAGCAAAAATTATTTAACTTTAAAAATGTAGAAAATATTCTAAAATCTTTGTTTACATGATATAAACGAAATGAACATTTAACCGCAAAACGTTTGTTGACTTGACAATGTCAAGTAATGTCAGAATGGCGTGCGTGGGAATTTGAAAGAGATCATCAAGCAGAGAGCGAGACTTTTATTTCAGAACGAACAAGTAAACAACAAAGGCGCCTTCTTCGGGGCTGCGGAAAATTGAATTGGACCAACTCGTGTATTGTGAAGAGCGGAAAAATTCGCAATTTATCGTCCGCGAGCTATGGTAGCGCTCACTATTCTGTCATCCTGGTAGAATTTCTTGAGGTTTCGACAAGATATATAGATCACGTGGTTAGTAATGGATCCAGCCTACTTGCTCACCGAAATCTACAAGCGGAAAGGAAAACGAAGTATCGCGGCAACTTGTAACAAGCTATTTTGATATTCAGAGCGGATATATACCGTGCAATATCACGCATACGTCTACTAGAAACATTAAAAACGTCTGTAGCGTATTTATTATCATGAAAGTTGAGTGAGATAAGGTAAAAAGATGGATTGTTTCGATAGAAAAAAAAACTTGCCGGAGATCATTGATCTTTTGTCTCCTACTGACAAGAAGATCAAACTTTTTCTATGCATTTCGAAGTTGACAAAGCTTGACAGAATGCTTGCCTCTTTATATCATACATTTATGCGAATGACTTTCTTGCAATCGATCGCTCTGCAGCGACATGCTTGTCAATTTTAACTGGCTACTTATAAAGACATATATACCGTTTCGTACAGTGATGGGCCCTTTCCCTGAACTGCTGTCGCTGTACCCGTGAATGTAAACGATAGTCGGATGTTTAATGTTGAAGTTACTTCTCCACAATGTTGCGACATCGGTGGGATCCAGTATGGACGGATACGTTGGATTTCGCCTGCCGTGGGTTAATGCGAAACGCAAGAAAAATGTCGCTATGAGCAAAATTTGTGGAATTTAATACGGTCGATAGTGGACTCGTTGACTTATGGGATACTGAAAGACTAATTTTCAGATTCCCATCAATCAGAGATTCCAATCAACTAGAACTTTAACTAATTAGTCACGCCAATAGCGTTGACGAGCTAAATTAAATCTCTTAAGTTTATAATATATAAGATAATATTAAAGCGGGAAAATTAAATTACACTAAAAATATGATTCAAGTACGGCGTGTGATGGTGATCTCTACTCACGAGAGAGAGAGAACAATCTGTGTACCTGGTATACAGTTGCAACTGGACGTCCCGATTTAAGTCGATCGGGCAGCAATAGAAACACATACCGGTGGGAAGTAGAGTCAGATGCAGCACGGAATCCTCTGATAACAAACGAAAAGAAACTGATTATAATTTTAGCAAAATCTCGATCAGTTTTAATCTTGCGAATTTATAATCGAACAAACGCGAATAACAAACAAAGATTGAGTTCACACTGAAAAAATGTACCAAATATAAAAAAAAAATTTTATTTAAAAAAATTATTTATTTAAATACTTGTAAAGGAATTAATTATTTCAATCAAGCAGCAAATATATTTGAATTAGTAAAATATAAAATAAAAGCAAAGTATGCTTTTATTTGCAAATAAAAAAATGTTTTTATCTTTATTGTACTAAATTACTTTCTTTAAGAAAAACATTTTTTAATTGTCGGCTGCTTGTTTTGAAAACAGTGGTTTTCGTTATTTTAATAAATAATTTTTTATTTTCAAATATATATAAATATTTTTTTATATAATTTATTATTACAAAATCTTTTTCTAAACAAAGTATATATTCATGTAAATAAAAAAAATTAAAATTAACAAAATATATTTATTTGATTAAAAAAAAAAAATTATTTTTATAGTGCAGTAAAATTAATATTTCTTCCTTCCATCGAACCGAGTAGAGAACTCATTTCAAAGATACCATGCTCGGCGAGTAATAGTACAATAGTTCAAATGGCAAAAATGGTTCACTCTTCGCGTTCCCTCTGCTGTATTAAACGTGGTGCATAATACCAGCAACGACGACGGTCGGCCTCGACCAATCGCCGCGGTCGTCGTCATTGAACCTGACGATGGTCACGTTATGTCGCGTGTTGTAGCGCCGACGGAGATCGACGGTGCGCGATACCCTACCGAAGAATCCCCCTTTACTTGCCTTGGAACGCTGCTCGATTTTTCACAAAACACGCGAGAGCACTTGTATAGAATATTCCTCAACGAATTACGTTAATTTCCGTTCCCCATTGTACGAGATATCTTTTCTTTCTTCGCGATGGTCCCCTTGAAATGATTAGCGTTTCAACGGTGTAGAACGCTGGTTCTGACAAGTCGGACAATCGCGTCCCAATGAGTTAATCGTCCAACAATAGACGCAATGACAAATGGTAATTTCCAGAAACGCTTATCCGCGATCGTACGATCGAAGAGAAAAAATATCTGCGGAAATAATCCGCCGTTTCATCTACTTCGACAACGAATTGCCCGATGCCGTGCCCGGTCGCAATTAAGCTCGCACGGAAAACGTACGACATGTGGTTAAGTGGCTGTCGAGCTCGTTCGCGCACCCCTTAAACCTTAGAGAGCAGCGGCGCGTCGAAAATGAACGGCCTTTGTATTAGAAATAAATGTATCGTGCGTGAATTTTAATTGTTTTGCGTCCAAAACGTTTCTGAGTTATTACTAGTCTTTTCGAGGAAAATACACAAAATGGGAGAAGCTTTAAACGCTATCACGGCGTTGGTAAATGTCGAGCGTTTAAGTGGAAAATTACTTAAATTAATGATGAAATAAATTTTTACGATTGTTTGCGCGAAAGTTACCAAAGTAACTCCAGCTTACGTCTCGGGATACTTACTTCAGGATTGTGCAATTGGACAATTATACTACTTTGTCAAGTAGCATTTCGCAAAAAATAGGTCGCGCTTTATTACACTTTCACCGCGATAATCGCGATGCTTTTTCGCTCGAAGCGTTTCACCGCGAAGATTTATACGATTATGTCACACAGCACGGATTAACAATACAGTCGAATCTCTCTCTGCTCCAACTGCTTGTCCAACACATCTAGAAAATGTTACCTTTATCCATAGACCGTTAGCAGATGAGAGGATTATCGAACATGAACGGGATGTAATACGAAGAGTGGTTATCGCGCGCGCTTTGCACAACCGTTATAGCAAATCATCCGTTTTTTCATTATTAAGCGTAATCAGGCATTAGCAGGCAGCAACATGATTGCAATTTTGATGTCATGATTCGCGTCGGTTCGATGACACTGCATCGTGGGATGGGATTTTTTGCGACTATGATCGAGGACACAGCTGTTCACGTTATTAAAAATAAAGAATACAATATACACTGTTGAAAAATTTGTGTTTTCTTGTTAAAAAATATGTTTATTAAAATTTAAATATTTAACACATTGCTGTTGTGTTAATTAAACTCATATGTTAAATTATTAAAACAACTGAAAAAAGTGTAAAAATAACACAATGCACATATTTTTAATTTTACACAATAAATATGTTCCGTATTATTAGTGACAGGATTTATTTGTTAAAATTTACAAAAAAAATGTTCATTTTATTCTTCCATAAGAGTAAGAATGACTATGGACCATTAATAACATTTTTCCAAGTTTTATATATATATATATATAATTTTATCATTAAAAATATATTGATTTTACACAAAATTTATTTCAGATTACTATAAAGTTCACATTTATTTTGTGTTAAAATATTAACAGAATATTAGTGTCACAATTTAACATATCCATATTATGTTAAATTAACACAAAAATTTATATGGATCGTTTGAGGCATGCGATATATGTTAAATTGAAGTCAAATTTTTCAACAGTGTACGGATGTCTCTCACAACGTGACGCGATCACGGAGAGAAAGGAGCAGAAGATGCCGTTTATTCCTTTTTTTTTCCGCATTTGAGGTTCGATAAACTTTTTCACGATCAAGTTCTGCGATGCGTTGCATCGAATTGCTACGAGGTTTAATCCGGGTTGCTGGAACTGCTCATCTTTAAGGTGAAAGCTACGTAACAATCTCTCATTCCAGTACTGGTTACACCGGATGGATGGTCAATCGTGTTATGTAAAAAGGGCTCGCACTTGTGAATTTCCCGTAGACGAGCCGTAGAAGGCTCGTCAAGAAATCACGCCGCATAACATGAGATGCCATTTTAGGAATTTATCGTACCGTATAAACGCGTGAATGCGCCTTTCGCGCAGGATGCGTTACGCGTTCTGATTACCTCATTTTTTTTATAAATCGGTGCTTGTCGATCGGTTTACATTCTCTTTGAATGAAAAGAAAACTACATCGAGAAATCTTAGAGAAACCGGATTTCGGTAGCAATTAAAAATAATGAATAATTCGTTAAATGAGAAATGAGTGTGTTAAGCATGTCGTTGTTTGAAATTTAAATGATGCACATTTACATTCTATCTGTGATAATTAAACATCGGATTTTTTATGCAGAAATTTGTTATTAAAACAAACAATTAATAACCAAGAGATTTAGGTTATTTATAATATCCAACATATTTACACTGCAACATATACTATGCATTTTCTATGCAAAATATATGTAAAATAATATGCATATTATATATGCAGAATATATATCAAAATATATTTTTATTAAAAATTGTATTTTATATTAATAATGTTTATTTACGTTACTATGTGAATGTTATTCATTTCTGAAACTAAGTAAATACATTTTTTAAATGTTCCTTATTATTTTACTTATATTGATACAATTAATACAATTAACATAATTACTTTGAAAATTTATATATTATTGTAAAAAAATTTATGGGAACAATATTACAAAATAAATTATAATTCTTAAAATGTGATTTAAGAATTATAATTTAAATTACAATAAACAATAATATTTTCTCAAGACTGGAGATTGTAAATTTGTGACATTTGTCTGACATAAAAATTATCTTGCAGAAAATGAACTAGAAAATAAAAAGAAAACGCTAACTTTATAACATAAAATATATAAAATTATTTACAATATGTAAAACATATGAAAATATGCAAAAGATCACTGATGACGCAATCTGCATTAAAATAAGTTGGAACAGATTTGTAAAAGGAGTTCAATACGGTCCATTTTATTCGCTTCCGAAATTAATCATCGCGAAAACAAAGTGCTCTCGTTACGCTTTGCACATTTGCCAAAGTTTCGTTTCTTGTTTAATGAATCATTCTTCATCACATCGCCAACTGGCAGTAACTTTTCCAACACTCTTATTATTCGCATTATTCATATTATTCACTTTGACATCGTGAATCACGGCCGACTTACGCGACTACTGTTAGTGAAACGGAATTACACTTAACACGTGCATCGACTTCGTCGCAGATTTCGCGCGAGTGACTGCGTGATCCAGTTTTGGTTCGTTGATTCGTGATTAACAGTTTCTCCACGACAATAATAACGGCAATAAGCTCAGAGTACTAACAATACTAGTTCTAAGTAAGGAAACTGGCAAATAAGAGCCAAAGTGCGGTTATTGGTACGCAAACTTTTTGTTATTAATTTACCAACAAAAGTTTGCGCACCAATAAACGCGTTTTGGCTCTTATTTGCCAGTTTTTCCTCTTAGTATTGTTCCTCCACAACATTAGAAATACGTAAAAAAAAAACACCGATATAAAATTCAACATCACTAATATTTTCCTCTAATAGAATTAGACTCCTATATGCATCGAACTAATGGACATTAGCGCGAAAATATTAAAGCCGCACTAAGTTAATTTATACGTGCACGTTTCACGTTTTATGATCCACTTTGTGAAAACGATGATTGTCACTCGAGTTAAAGTCGGAGGGATTATCGAGCGATTGTGCATCACTGTCGCGCAATTTACCTCTTCGGAAGATATACAACTGACAGAGAATAGGCACGAGGAAGGACGGGACCATTGTCGAGTGCCCGAAAATCTCGAATGACGCTACCTCTCTGCTACCGTGGAGAGACCCTCTTACGGTATCGTCTTACGTAGGATTCGAGAGGAAACTGGCGGGAAACGGCGCTTGCTGATCATTTTGTAGAACTCTCGCATACTCTCATCTCGCGCGAGCATAACGCGAGCGTCACGATCTACTTTCCAGCCTTTTTCTTTTTGTGATACCAGGCCCGGGCCGGTTCAGGCAAGAATGGATACAATATCAAATTATGTTAATCGTCCCACTTCCGGAGTTCGTGGAGCAACTTCACACGCCGTTGAATCTGGCACACAAGAGGACGTATCTTTCCTATCTTTCATTTTTTACGTTACTAGGAACACTATGCTCATTACGTGAGGAGTAATCTCTTATCAAGTATATCTTATATCTGTTCCGTTCCGTTAGAGAGAAATTAAACTCAATGTATCTCTAAGGTAAACACTTGATAAAAGAGCCTGTGATCTTCCGTTTTCAGGACAAGCTGCTGACGAAACTGGAGGAGAACGAGCCGGAGCTGGCATCTTCCCAGGAAGATGAGGTAAGAATCGAAAGTGACAGATATTTACAAATGTAAATCGACCAATCGACCAAATGAAATAAAATCAAGTAGCAAAATTTTCTTTCTTGTGATCACTCGACCCTGTCGCGGATCTAATCGCCAAAAGAAACTATTTTCGCTTGGATTGCCCCATCGTTCTACACGATTACTATTCCTTCCTTCTTAAAGTTCTACGTTTTTTTTTTAAGACTCCCTAAAGTTCACTTCGCTGTTTGCCCTCTTATCTATTGCCCGGGCAACGGATAATTGAGGATAATTTTGTCGACAAACGAACTCGATCACTAGTGAATAAAATTTTTTTTTAATAGACATAAGAAAAAAAAGCAATTGAGTTAAAAAAAAACACACGTTTCTCTGCTGATTACGTCAAATTGCAAGCAGGGGAATCTTCGCTTTTAACGTAAACACAAATCGGAGGATTAGTTCATAAAAGAAGCTTAATGGAAATTACCTTTGCGTATGTAACTCAAACTATGTGTGCTCTGGTCTGATTTTATTCATTTATTCCACTTGTAATTATTTTCCTGGAATCTGTAAATAGTCAATATAAAAAAATATATAATTAAGTTAAAAATAAAAAATGAGCATTTTTTCTTCTCTTTTAAATTATCAAATCTGATAGAGTATATATACCTTAGTCTTAACGTTGGCGTGAAATACGTAATACGTAAATTCTCTGTTAGAGACGCCGCGTATCTTTTCGCTTCGTTGCACCGGATTAAAACGGTTAGGCTGTTACGATAAAGAGAATGACGATAACAGAGCAACCTGTATCGCGCAAAATATGACCGGCCGTTTGGAAGAGTCACAATTTCCGAACGAATTGGTCGCCCAATCGGTCGCAAAAGTCGATTAACGACGACGACGACAAAGTGGCGGTCGCAACCCTTCGACTCCTGACGTGTTCGCCCACCCTCTCCGGACTCGAGCTATTAATATTTCGATTAAAGTGATGTCTAATGACGTTACGTCGATTACGGCAGCCAATATCGCGACCGACCTGATCGCTAAACAACGATCCGCGTTGTATCCCGAGATTTAATAACATTACACGTGCAAGCGCATAAGAACTATGCAAATAAAGCAAGAGTCACGTTCTATGGCGAGGGTCGAATAAAAGCGGTTACACATAATCTCATCTCTTTATTTCTCGCCAATTTTTTTCTCTTTTTCCAAGTATTTTATATCCATGCAGTTGCCAATCAAAGTCTAAGTTTATACACTACAAATAAAATTTTTCTTAATCAAATAAATACATTTTGTTAATTTTGATTTTTATTACTTAACAGATATATACTTTGTTTCCAAAAATGTTTTGTTATATTAAATAAATTATTAGCTGCATGTAATAAAAATTATACTTTTTAAAATACATTATTTAAAATTATTATTAAAAATTTTAATATA